TACGCACGCACGCATGCACGCAGGTAAACGTGCACACGCACGCACGCAGGTATATGTGGCATAACGCACGCTCGCACGCACGTGTGCGTGCACACGCACGCACTCCCACACCGCACGCAGGGCATGCACGTGTACGTTCACACGCACGCCACGTACGCGCACACGTGTACGTGCACAGCGCACGCACGCAGGCTGTACGCACCGCGTAAGTGCACACGCACGCACGCACCACGCACGCACGCGACGAACGCGACGTGTACGTACACACCACGCACGCAACGCACGCAACGTGTACTTTGCACACGCACGCACGCACGCACGCACGCGCGCACGTGTACGTACACACCACGCACGCACACACGCACGCATGCACGCACGCAACATACACACGCACGCACACACGCACGCACGTGTACGTGCACACACATACATGCACGCACGTGTACGCACGTACGCACGCACGGCACGTATACGTGGCACACGCACGCACGCCACGCACACACGCACGCACGCACACACACACACAAAGCAGCACGCACGTTTACATACCACCACGCACGCACGCTGCATGCACGCAGATGTACGTGCACACGCACGCACGCACGCACGTCTATGGCATATGCATGCACGCACGCACGTGTACGCTTACACACACGCACGTACCAGCCAACGCACTCATTGCGCCACGTGTAAAATCACATAGTGTGTCCGGCCTAAAACGTTTTGATATTATCGGGCGATTATTTCAGTCGCCCGACTCAATCGTCTAGTGTGTCCACTCGACTCGCGCGATAGAATCGGGCGATATTATCGGGCGATAAAGTCGCCCGATTAAAGCGCTAGTGTGTCCGCCCTTATTAAAGGTCTGGACACACTAGGCGATTTTATCGGGCGATTAAATTGGGCGATTAAACCGGGTGACTAAATCGCCGGTGAAATCGTCTAGTGTGTCCAGTCAGTCGCCGCCGATTTAGTTAGTCGCCCGATTAAAGCTATGTCTCCACACAAGCGGCACGACACGACACAGAAAAACGCAACGCCGTTGTGCTGAAAAAAAATACATTGTGATTTCGGCGCATTGTGTCTGAGCGCATTGTGTTCACTCTGGTTCAGTGATCCATTATGCATGCGATTGTTGTCCATTGGCTGATGGTAAGCGTGAGGCAGAACACGTGATAAAAAAACAATCGCGTTGATTGGTTCAATTGTCTTTTCGCCGTCACGTCAGCCGGCAAAAGTCAAACTCATTTGACTTTCGCCGTTGCCGGAACCCGGCTGGCGCCGTGCCGTGTCAGTGGAGACTGCATTAAGATATAATAGTATTGAACTTTGCCGGTAGGGTGAACGACACGTTTCCGTGGCGTTCCGTGCCGCGCGCGTGTGTGGAGACGGGCCTTAAAGGCCGTCTTTTAGTCGCCCGATTTAATCGCATAGATCAAAACGTTTGATATATGAGCGATTATTTCATTCGCCCGATAAAAATCGCCTAGTGTGTCCGGGTCGGCGATTTAGTCGCCCGATTGTACAATTCATCAACCAATCAGAGTTGTTCAATGATACTGACGTAATAGCGATGTTTCATGTTTAGTATGTCAGTCATGTAATAGCGATGCACGCACGCACGCACGCACGTGTACGTGCACACATACGACGCACGCACGCATGCACGCACGTGTAAGTTCACACGCACGCACGTGTACGTGCACACGCACGCATGCACGCATGCACGCACGTGTACGTACACAGCGCACGCAGGCACGTATGCACGCACGCATGCACGCAGGTGAACGTCCACACGCACGCACCGCACGCACGTATATGTGCATACGCACGCTCGCGCACGCACGTGTACGTGCAGCACGCACGCACTCACGTGTACCTGCACACACACGCACGCACGCACGCACGCACTGTACGTGAGCACGCACGCACGTGTACGTGAGAGCAGCGCACTCACACACGCACGCAGGCACGCACGTGTCGCGTTCACACGCACGCACGCACGCACGCATGTACGCACGTGTAGTGCACCACACGCACGCAGCGACGAACGCACGTGTACGTAACACACGCACGCACACGAACGCACACACGTGTACTTGCACACGCAGGCACGCACGCACGCAGCGCGCGCACGTGTACGTGCACACGCACACATGCACGCATGTGTACGCACGCACGTATACGTGCACACGCACACACGCACGCCACGCGACGCACACCACACACACACGCAGCGCATGCACGCACATCTTGTACATACACACGCACGCACGCATGCATGCACGCAGGTGTACGTGCACACGCACGCACGCACGCACGGACTTCTACGTGCACATGCATGCACGCACGCACGTGTACCTGTACACACACACACACGTACGCACCAACGCACTCATGCACACACGTGTAAAATCGCCTAGTGTGTCCGGCCCTAAAACGTTTTGATATTATCGGGCGATTATTTCAGTCGCCCGACTCAATCGCCTAGCGTGTCCACTCGACTCGCGCGATAGAATCGGGCGATATTATCGAGCGATAAAGTCGCCTGATTAAATCGCTTAGTGTGTCCGGCCCTTTCGTTTTATTTACAATGTTTTTTAACGTGCACTTTTCAGCAATGAATACAGCGTTTGAACGAAAATAAATGCACACCAAAATATTTATATCAATTATATCAGGGGTTAATAATGACAAATTGCTAACTTTGTGTAGCATCTTCTTAATAAAACTTTTTTACCTCCGCCAGGGGCTTGGCGGAGGTTATGTTTTTTTGTTGGTTTTTGGGTTTGTGGGTTTGTGTACGCTCGCTGATTGGCTGATTGGCCCGCCACCCCGCCGCCGCCGCCGCGCCGGAACCGCCTGTATCATACAGGTTAAGCCTAACTGAAAAATTTATGGACGATTGTCATAAACTTTTCAGGATACGTCAGAAATGCGGCTAACTTAGAATTGATGAGATTTTGGTGGTGATCCGGATCCAACTAATTAATTAATTCATTCATTCAATAATAAAATTTTCAGGATAGGTCAGAAATGGGGTAACTTAGAATGATTACATTTTGGTGGTGATCCGGATCCAATTAATTAATTAACTAATTAATTAATTAATAAATTTTCAAGGATAGGTCAAAAATGGGTAACTTAGAATTGATTACATTTGTGTCGATCG